ACTGTGGTAAACAAGGTCTCTCCTTCCCCAGCACTCTCCTTAATCCAATTCTCCTCCTATGGATCATAAGGGAAATAAAAAGAGGTACATAGTGTCTTATCCGGAGTAAAAGACTTTAATGTGCGCTAGTAATACACTCACATGTAATTGGAATTAGATGCGCTTTTCATATATATAACCGCGGTTAGCGGTGAGATCAGCCTTGTTGGTGTGCCTGCGCACACTGTGAATACTCGCCGTGTCTGAATGCGGATGCGTGGTGACGTCACTGCCCCTACCCTACGCGTTACGCTACAGGGACTCGTAGCTTCCTCTGGGGGATGTAGTTTTACCTGCACCGGCACCCAAATTTTCTCATTGCTATCTTACTGACGCACACCACGTGAGGGTGAGCAAGGACGCCTGCGACATATTGTTTTTTATATACACACAGATATTTGCACCCTCCAGTGGCTCACAAGTAAATTTCACACAAGTATTGGGTTATAAATAGGGATGCACCGATACCCCCGTTTTTTTTTATCGGCGAGTACGAGTACCAATGCTTTCAGTCAAGTACTAGCCGATACCGATTACTGACACTTTGTGGTGTGATTTGCGTCCATACAAATTGTATGGACGCAAATTGCATCAGAAACAATAGCATGCGATATGAACAGGAATGCGATTTTTGTCCAATTCACAGGCGGTCTCCCCACTGCTCCTGTGTGATCCCAGGCTGTTATAGCCTTAGTTCACACAGGAGCGGTGCAGGGAGGTTACCCGCAGCAGAGAGTGGGCGTGTGGGGATGCTTTATGTAAATTTTAAAAATACATCATCTCTAAAGTTTAAATAACCCCTTCGTGCCGGTGCCTCCCAGCCCTTTAAGGGTTTCAGAAGCCGGGAGGCAGGGAAGGGTTTAGGGTCATGTGACCGCCGTGACGGCAATCACATGATCGGGAAAGGACCTGATCGAAAGAGGATATCGGGACCTTTCCGTGAGTACCGAACACGTGCTGGGAGCGCGCTCTCAGCATATATGTCCTTTTTTAATAGAACACAAATGTGCGGCCACTCGGCGTCTAGGCCCAGACACCGGGAGGCCACACGTATTTGCGTTCGGCCGGCGTGAAGAGGTTAAAGAGACCCTGTGCATGTACTTACAATACAAAGCTGTGGCTGCATTTAGTTTTAGTTTTTTCTATAAAGAATTTCAAACACATTCAATAAAGAAAATATAATACAGTAATATGGTTGTCTTCCATAGACCATATAGTCTCCAACAAAATGGAGCACAATTATTGTCGGTATCGAGCGTATGTAGGCTATTTAAAGATGGGTATTTGAGACATCAGCAGAAGGCAGGTCCCTTTGAGAACATGTGTGTGCATAAAATGCATCAGAGGAGGGTTACATGCTGATGTTACACTGGCAAGTGTGTGTGGTCCGGTGGCCAATCATGTAAGCTCGGCCGCTTGTTTTTATGTATTCCACGTGGAGTTTTGATATTTTGAATAAAATACTACACTATGCACCTTTATTCGGACTCTGTGGGGCAAGCTTTTTTTTTTTTTTTAATTAAGGTGTGTCCTGGTCACTTCTGATTGAATCCGTCAAGAGGAAGGAGGCTGTCACAGATTGTTATACAACTGTGGGCTTCTTTTTACCAGAGCTCGGGTGAGTGCATAGAGGTGAAGGTCTCACGGAAGAGGTGTCACTAGCAGATTGATGTCACTGGTTTATACATTTAAAAGTCATAGGACTGTGTCGCTTTCATGTGTACTATTTATTTGACATCTTACTTTTCTTGTTTATTGATATATATCATTGTTAACAATGAATGCCATATGGTTTTATAATGGTTATTATGAATTACACTATTTACATGAATTTTGCAATCAGGAATTATTTTTAGTGTCTTTTAGCGCTGCCCAATTTTGTTACTCAAACGCATTCAATGTCCTGTTCTTACAGATGTGTCAGATTTGTTCTATGCTGATGCTGTAGCATCTCCTCCTTAGATCTGAAGTTACCTGTGCTCCTGGAAGCAGGGAACGCTTGAGTGATCTGCAAACATAGTTTAAAGTGAATTATGCAAGGTCGCTGTCAGAATGGCAGGTTAGGTCTGGTGCGAGGCTACAGAGGACCTCAACATTTATAGAAAACATCAGATGTTACTGCTCTTGCAGCAGAAACTGAAAAAAAAGGCATCTTTATCCTAATAACCATAGTAGTGCAGTTTTTAAACCCATTAATAAAAATGAATAGTGGTGCAGATTACTAGTCCTTGGATGTGCTGGCTATATTCATTTCCACTCCCCCCCCCCCTTCACATTAATTTGGGCAATTCTGACATTAACACACATCACATCCTAGGGCAACAAGCATACTGAACAGCATTGTCACCCTAGAAAGGAGATGTTAGGACTACATAACACCTCCCTCTTTACCATAACAGGGGCAGGCCTTTTGTAATGTAGAAATAGCAGGGAACAGTTAGCTATACTTTTTTTTTTTTTTTTTTTGCACTTGTTCAGATACTATATAAAGTGCTTTAAATAGTATGTTTAAACAGACCAAAAGTGACCAAAGGAGGAAACATTTAAGTTTCCATACACATCAGGGAAATACATAGGCTGCCCTGCCATTGTAAGCCTTTGGATGTCTCTTCCAGCAAAGCCTTCCTATTCACGGCCCCAAAATATAAGTGCAGACATTGGTACATCACAAATTTTACAAGCGTGTTCTGGGCAAGTGGCTCAAAGCATTGAAGGCTTTGGCTCATAACAGCCATTTCAGCAATGGTTGTCTACAAGTTCTCAATACAGGTCATTTAAAGGAAATTTGTACCAAAAAGGAATATGGTGGCTGTTGCTGATCACTTGAAAATGCCTGGTGCTCAGCCTCAATACAAATACCCGAGACTGAATAAAATGCACACAACATAGAAAACCTGTCCTGAGCATATGAGTTTCTGCTTTCTTCATTTTGAAAACACTAGTTACCATGCTGATCCAATGATCTCAGCACAAAAAGTTGTAACTTCAAACAATTATACATAGATCAGGCGTTCTGATTCCACTTACCTGAACCAAAGACCTATTCCAGATCACCACAGCAAAGTAGCAGTTTAAAACCAGGTTAACCCCAATCAGAACTTGTTTCCTTTAGACCTGGTTCACCCCAAAATGCATTGTGCTTTCATTTTTTTTTTTTTTGTGAACAGTTTACAATCCACCCTGTAGCAGAAATACTGCTACAGGTGCACAAAAAGCACATGCGATTTTGCAATTCTAGGGAGGGAGCATGCACACACACGACCATGACTGTCAATTACTGGGTCCCAGCCAGTGATTACTCGCTGCTGCATGATAGCCAAAATATTACCGAGAGGGGAAAGAACTATGTAAACAATACAGTTCTCTCCACTGTCGGCTCCTGCACACTGCTTTGTATGGCTCTGCATAACAGCCATACAAAGCAGTTCTTACAGTTGAAAAGACACACACACACACACACACACACTGTGAAAGAGCAACTACTGACCCTTTGATTGCCCCACCTGTTAACCCCTTCCTGCCCAGTGGCATGGCATTAGCACTGATCACTGTATTGGTGTCACTGGGATGTCAGTGACACCAAGTCAGTTCTCCCAGTGTCAAAATGCCTGCTGCAGTCCTGCTATAAGTCGCCATTACTAGTAAAAAAAAAAAAAAAAAATTATATGCTATAACTTTCACATAAACCAGTTAATTTACACATATTGCATCTCCTACAGCCAGTGATGTGTTCTGGTATTGGGACTTCACATACAACTCCTGATAGAAAATAAGCGTTGGGCTAAGCGCTGTTCAGCCAGTCTATGAAGGCTTCCTCCGATTGGATGGGGCAGATGCTGATTTTTCACCTCAACCAATCAGGAGGAGGCTTCATATTCATAGAATTACATTTACTGAGAATGGCTGAGTAGCACTCAAGACTTTTGTTCTGAGTGGTACAGGTTCTCATCCCACTGCTGGAACACACATGTAGCCTCAGCTACATATAGTTAATACAGCACACCAATCAAGTTCACCCATTTGTGCACTAAATAGTTGTCCTAAGCAAACAATTTAAAGAAATAACACGGAGTTAGGCTAAAGTGCATTTCCACAGTTACAGCCAAATTTGAGATAACCCCTCGTGTTCATTTATACAACCTTGCCTATATACTTTACCAGAAAGCCTCAAGCTTTTGACCAATGTCAGCGATTCTGTTCCAAGCATAGGCTTTAGGAAGTAAAAAACTCAGCATAAAGCTTAAATTGGGGGGGGAAAAAAATAAACCCCACAAACTTAATGCTTACCAGGGGGGGGTTGCAGGGGGCAGATTACATATTGCTGCTGACCCATCTCTCAGCAGCTTCCCTGAACGTCTGGTCTTTGTAGGACATGAGTTAGTGTACTCTTCAGCCAAGCAGTTTCCTTGGAAAAGGGAGACCAGGGGGAATGCCTTGTGTGTTCTATTGATGCAGAGCATAGAGAACTCAAGGTCTTGCATTTAATAAGTGATGTTTTAGAGGGTGCAGCAAGAAAAAAAAGGGAGCCACTTTAAAACCAGAGGCAATCATAACACCAGCTAACTGGTGCACAAGATTTAAAATACCATGTCAAATGCAGCTGCTAAAAAAAAAAAAATATAAAAAAAAAAAGGGTAATATATATATATATCCCATACAATGTAGGCATTATCCCAATTTGGCTGGTAAAGTGCAAACCCTTTTATACATCACCAGGGTAATCAATACCACATCCACTATACAAAGCAGAACTGATAAACAAATGCAGAGATGACCTTTTATTGCACAAAATGTTTATTCCATTCAAATACTTAGAGGGAAGACAAGTTTAGACAGACAATTCCCTTTTTTTGGCATTCTACGATCCTTCCTAGGACTGGCAGGTCACATCTTCATTCACAGTGCTTACGACTCTCCACCACAAGCCATTATTTCACCAACTCCTGTGAAGGGTTCAGGTGCTAATTGTAGCCTTGCTTTTCCTGTTCAATTTCTGGAAGGCATGACATTTTATTAGATCACAAAGCACAAGATAGAGATATATACAAAAAAAAACAAAAAACAAACAAACACCACAAAATTCAAATTAGGCATGAGAACACACAACAGGGTGTATCCAGAGACTTACCCTCTTTTGTAGGCAGGGGGTTCTTCTCTTGGGTCTGTGTTTTCTTCAGCTTTGACTTGTCAAAGCTGCCAATCTCTTTCAGGTCCGGTTTGTCTGCCATCTTTGAGCTCTTGTCTGCAAAAGGAGCAGATGGAGGGGCTGTCAGGACGGACGGAGCACCCACACAAATCCTCATCTATGCACAGCATTAGTGAGCAAGCCACCCACACTTCCACTTGTCAGGCTGCAGCATTAAGGGCTGATCACACATGTCAAATGAATGAGAGCAGCTTACAAGAGGCACCACCATTGATTATAGGCATGCATAAAAAAAATATATATATATATATATATATATATATATATATATTCCCCCCCCCCTTTTAGAAGAAAAAAAAAACCCCCCTAATTTTGCATTCCTAATCAATGGTGGCCTCTTGTAAGCCACTTTCATATACACACTCCTCCCCCCCCCCCCCCTTTCTAGCTAAAAGAAACCATATTTCAAAGCTAACACTTCCAGCTGAAGCTAAGCAGATTTTACATAGCTGAAACCAGACGTCCTGGTGTGAATGGGATGTAAACAATTCACAGCCAGGCAGACTACATAGTCATTGCGCAGGTATGCAATAAAGCGACTCCTATTAACACACCCCATACTGCTCTCACTCGGTACTCACCAGGCAGCAGTTCTCAACTAGGACCACTCCACAAGAGGAACAATGGGCACAGACCTCCAGCCCCCACTATTTATACTGCGAGCCCAGCCCAATGCACTCGTCATGGCTTCACCTCATTGGCCGAGCGCTAACGAAGCTGTCGGCAGAGTGGGTCACGTGGTGCAGCCTAGGGTCACGCCCAGTGATGGATCGGAACCGGCACGTGGGTGTGTAGAACAATGAAGGAAGCAGGGCGAGTGAGGGGACGATATAGCGGGAAATCTTTTATCATGGCGGCTTCCAAACCTCAGGCCCTGAATGTGTGTTTGCTGAGGTCTCCAGAATTTTATACGTGACAGGTTCCCGGGGGCAGTGCTGCCCAGGTTACCACGTGTTCATAGAATTCCTGTCAGTGTTGCATAGTGAGGAGTGGAGTCTGATGTCTGTAATGTGTCACCAACTGATCCACTGTTCCAGTCCAGGAGCCGACTGACAACTCATGGAGCCCCCGGGCAATAGGGGATCATGGGGCCCCTGTGTCCTTGCCCAAAGGTACCAGGGCTTCTCATGGGGCCCCCTACTGACCTCGGGCACTGCCCGAGTTTCCAAATGGTCAGTCTGCCCCTGTCCCAGTCTATGCACTGCAGTAGGGGAGATCTACTAAAACAGGCGCATGCAGAATCCAGTGAAGCTGTGCGTAGTAACCAATCAGCTTCCAGGTTTTAGTCACCGGTCACACCGCTGCAGTTTCAGCTGCGATTTCTGAAGACTTTATTGCGACTTGTGAAGATTGTAAAGTGCTGCGTAAATTGACAGCGCTATATAAGTACCTGAAATAAGTAAATAAAATTAACAGTTACATAGTCTGGCTGAAAAAAAGACAAAAGTCCACCTAATATGAATTCTTTATATCTCATGGGCAGCACAGTGGCTAAATGGTTAGCACTTCAACCTGGCAGTATCATTGGTTCAAATCCCAACCATGGCACCACCTGCCTGGAGTTTGCATGTTCTCCCTGTGCCTGTGTGGGTTTCCTCTGGGTACTCCGGTTTCCTCCTACACTCCAAAGACATGCTGGTAGGTTAATTGGATCCTGTCTAAATCAACCCTAGTATGTGTATGTGTGAATAAGTTGGGGACCTTAGATTGTACGCCCCTTGAGGGTTAGGGACTTATGTGGATGTACAATATATATGTAAAAGCGCTGCATAAATTGACAGCGCTATACAGTAATACCTCGGTTTAAGAATTTAATTCGTTCTGCAGGACTTTTCTTCTAGCGAAAAATTCTTAAACCGAAACGCCGTTTCCCATAGGAATGCATTGAAAACCAATTAATCTGTTCCGAAGATCAGAAAAAAGTAAACACTAATAAATACCGCATGAGTTATTTTAAGTCATGCAGCATTTTAGTAGTGACAACCATGCGTTAATGTTTCAGCTGTCAGCGAGGTTCCCCACTGACAGCTGAATGTAAAAGAATTTCTGGCAATTAAAAAAATAATTTAAAAAACTGCGTGGGGTCCCCCTTCCCATCCATACCAAGCCCTTTGTGTTTGGTATGGATTTTGAGGGGAACTGCCATGCCAAAATTTAAAACAAAATGATGTGGGGGTCCTCCCCAAAATCCATACCAGACACTTTTCAGAGCATGCAGCCTGGCAGGTCAGGAAAGGGGGGGGCAAACAATGTTTCTTTTTAGTTTCTTAAAAGAAACATTTCTGTTAACTTTTTGGGGAAACTGACAGCTAATTCTGTGAGCTATAGTGAAGAACAAAAAAAGAACCAGCAATTGCGTTTAAAAATCAGCACTGACATACACTTTGTATTGTGAAAAAAAATTCATACAAAATTTGTAAACCGAGGCATTATTTTCAGTGGGTTTTCATTTGTAAACCGAAAATTACTTTAACCGAGGCGTTCTTAAACCGAGGTATTACTGTATAAGTACCTGAACTAAGTAAAATAATTCAACCATTAAAAAAAAAGTTATAATCCTATACCCACAGTTGATCCAGAGGAAGGCAAAAAACCCAGCAAAGCATGATCCAATTTGCTCCTGCCTTTGAAAAAAATTCCTGCCTGATCCCCCAAGAGGCAATCGGATATTCCCTGGATCAATTTTACCTGTAAGGACTCTTTCATATGGGCTTTTCGTATGTCCGTTTCTCATCTGTCCATTTACGGATGAAAAATGGAGACCCATGTATTTCTATGGACTAGCGGAGGTAGACGGGTGATCACCTGTTTACATCCGTTAATGTCCGTATCTGTTAACATCCGTTTATTTTTGAACGGAAGAAAACACTATTTTTCTTCCATAAAAAAAACCGGAACGGACAAAAAACTGATGTAAACAGAAAAAAAAAAAAACTGATGAAAAACAAATGTAAATTGCTCCTTTTTTGCTTGAAAAAATTGTGATTGAACTGATAAAAAAAAAAAAGTAACTCCTGTGTTAAAGGGGCCTAAATTTTAGTATCCAGTTATATTATGTGTATCTAGCACCACCTGCATGGAGTTTGCATGTTCTCCCTGTGCCTGTGTGGGTTTCCTCTGGGAATGCTCAGTTTGGTGTGTATTGCTAGAGAGGTTTTATTTCTTCTTGGGAGAGTGCATGTGATCAGCACTGTCCAGACAGAGGTTGGGTCCTGCATCCAGAGCAGAAAGAAAACTCCTACAAGCTTTAACCACTTGCACTTATACCCCCTTCCTGCCCGGGCCAAATTTCAGCATTTAGCACTGTTGCACTTTGAATGACACGGTCATGCAACACTACCCATGTGAAATGTTTAGCATTTTTTTTTCACACAAATAGAGCTTTCTTTTGGTGATATTTAATCACCACTGGGGTTTTTGTTTTTGCACTATAAATGAAAAAGGAGCAACAAATTTAACTGATGATTGCGTGGTCATGCCATGCTGTACCCAATGGTGGCGATCAGTGACTTATAGCGGGACTGCGGCGGGCATCTGACACTGGGGGGAATTGACTTGGTGTCACTGACATCCTCAGTGACACCAATATAGTGATAAGTGCTAATAAAAAACACTGACACTGTGCTAATGGCACTGGGCAGGAAGGGGTTAACATCTGGGGTGATCAAAGGGTTAACTGTGTGCTGTTTTACTGTGGGGCTGTGTGTTAGTGCTTCACTGTAAGCACACTGCTTTGCATGGCTGTGCTGTGCACAGTCATGCAAAGCAGTGTGCAGGAGCTGACAGGGAGGAGAACTGTTTTGTTTACTAACAGTTCTCCCCCCTCCCTGTCAGAGATGCCCTGCAATCACCTGGCGCCGGCGAGTAATCACCGGCCAGGACCTGGTAATTAACAGCCATGCCGCGAATGGCGGCGCGGGTAGGGCGCGTGCGCCCCCTACCCGGAGATGCAAAATCACCTATATATATATACGTGATTTTGCGCTGCTGTGCCGCCCTGTAGTAGTATATCTGCTATAGGGCGGACGGGAAGCGGTTAACCAGTGCTCAGCTGAAGTCACAATAGTTCTATAACTGCTGATGAGAAAGGGTATTTAGCAGTTTATATTTACTAAAATATTTGCATTTCCATGTTCTGTGTACTGTGGGAGACCAGATAGGGTGAATGCAGGGTCCTGGGTTTAGTAACACTTTAAATCTCTTTTCCTCCAGACATAAAAGAGTGCTCCCTTGTCCTCTGTGATGACCTCAGGGTGAATAGCTCTACACCGAGTTCACCATATGAACCACTGATGGATTTATACATGTTGATCATATCCCTCCTAATCTAAATAATAATAAATTCAGTTCCTCTAATCTTTCCTCATAGCTGATCTCCTCCATGCCTCGTATCAGTTTGGTTGCCCTTCTCTGCACTTTCTCCAGTTCCCCAATGTTCTTTTTGTGAATTGGTGCCCAAACCTGAACTGCATATTCCAGATGAGGTCTCACTAATGATTTGTACAAGATGTTCAATGATTTCTTGCAATTTGCAATGCAATTCCCATTATATTCTATGTATGTGAAATTGCAACATAACTGCAGAAAAAGTAATGCAAGAACTACTTTATAAATCGCACTGCAGCAAATCGCACATGATAAGACACTGACATTCACATTCATTAGATGCCATTTCAGGTGCGATTTCAATTTGCAAATCGCATCGGTGTGACCGGGCACTTACTTAGGCCCCTTTCACACAGGCAGACTCTGATTTGCTCAGTGGGGGAATCTGCTGATCAGAGGTGGATGACAGGTCCGCGTTCGCTGAGTGGACGTAGAGCAGACACAAAGCCTGCTCTATGAAAACGGATTCCGCTGTCTGTTTACGCCTGACTGCCCTCTGATCTGATCTGCACAGGGGAGGACAGATTCTCTTCCGTTTATTTTAGTGACAGATGGGGGTAGTTGGGTGTAAACAGACATAGGTCCGTTTACACAGGTGGTCCATAGAGGTGAATGGACCATCCGATCAGGTCCGACTAAAAACCTGACAGGCAGACCTGAATCTCTCCTGTTCCTGATATAATCCTGATCTGATATTGATCTAAACCTGGTCTGAACTGCTGAACAACTACTTTATCAATTAGCTGTGAAAATGGAGCTTTAGTTCGCACCGCACATATGTGAATCCACACTCAAAGTTGAAGGAAAGGCAAAACCTAACTAACTCTAGACCTACTCTCATCCCCATTCTAAGTCCAATCTGTCTAGCCCTGTAAAGAAAAATCACTATACTTACCTATTCTGCAGCCACTCCGGTCCAGTCTCCAGTGCACCTTCTGTTTGCAGGAGAAAGCCGACAGCGGCTGGGAAGTGATGTCACCCATAGACTAATGGAGCAACTATTGCCTGCTGCCTCTCCTACACACATGGATACGATAAAATTTGAAACACAAAATCATAAATTATAATATAATAAATAATCATAAATAATAATAAATTTAATTCTATTGTAAAGCTGTTGCCGTTATATAAATCCTGTATAATAATAATTCAATAATGTAATCAAACCAAAACCACTGAAATCTGAAATATAGCGCCAAGTTCGCACATCACTGAGCTTAGTCGCAAATCATTTTTCCCTACGAATCATCACTCAATTCTGCAAGTGGTTCTAATTTACTATCGCTGTATTCTAGCTGGTCTAAAACCGCTTTTGACCTAAAGGGACGCTTTTTGGACGCCATGGACGTTTCTCAGTTTCCAGGCAGAAAGAACAGTAAAAATGCAGGCAGGGCACAGGACAAAGCACTAAGGACAAAATGTATGTGAAATGGTTTGATACAGTAATGTTATACTATGTGATTTTAGTGTATTCGTGAATGTCACTTTTTAAAATGTTTTAATTTCCCGCCGGTCCTGGCCCCCGTACATCCCAACGCTCGCAGGGATTAGAAGACGGATGCTGGCATCGGCCAGAGGAGATGGGCGGGGACGCTGCAGGGGGGACATCGCGGGAGCACAGGACAAGGTAAGTGATCAAGGGAATCCATGGTTACCGCTTTTGGCACTGATAATTAACCCCGAGCTACACTCGGGAATACCGCCAGGGATGCTGATAGTATGATTAATTATGTACTCATGACTACAGAATTTCATTAATTTCTGTATTTTTTATTTTCTTCCTGCCCAGGGTTTGATGAATTGTTTTTTTGAGGCAGCGTGGACAAGAAATGACATCACTTCCAGCACTTATGGCATGAAAAGTGACATCATGCTGGCCAACAGAGGGGAAGAGGCGGGGCTATAAGTTTGCTCTTTGTATAGCTGCTTTAGCCCTGATGAAGAGAGTATGTCTCCCAAAACGCGTTAGAACACCCTGCTGTCAGATTACCGGTTTTTTTCGGACTGTCACACTGGTTTCCAGCTTGTATTATGAGTCTTGGTTTGTGAATATACACTTTTGTAATTTTAAATAAATTCCTTTTTATCACGGTAATGCACGAGGAGAGTGTGCCCCTTCTTTGCTTTCTTCCAGTACCATCAAGATTCCCCGATCTTTAGAGGGCTGCACCCCTAAAGACTGGTATTGTGGTCCTGGGAGCCTTACGGACTTGAGCGCTTGTGTACGGTTTTTCTTTCTCGGGGCTAAGGAGTGTTTGATGGCTCATGGTGTTTTATACAGTGGATATAAAAAGTCTACACACCCCTGTTAAAATGTCAGGTTTCTGTGATATAAAAAAAATGAGACAAAGATAAATCATTTCAGAACATTTTCCACCAGTAGGTCTTTCCTGACATTTTCTTAGTTGCTTCCTACAGCAAAAGCCATGGTCCGCAGAGAGCTTCCAAAGCATCAGAGGGATCTCATTGTTTAAAGGTATCAGCCAGGAGAGGGGTACAAAAGAATTTCCAAGGCATTAGATATACTGTACCATGGAACACAGTGAAGACAGTCATCATAAAGTGGAGAAAATATGGCGCAACAGTGACATTACCAAAAACTGGACGTCCCTCCAAAATTGATGAAAAGATGAGAAGAAAACTGGTCTGGGAGGCTGCCAAAAGGCCTAAAGCAACATTAAAGGAGCTGCAGGAATATCTGGCAAGTACTGGCTGTGTGGTACATGTGACTACAATCTCCCATATTCTTCATATGTCTGGGCTATGGGGTTTGACTGGCAAAACAAAAGTCTTTTCTTATGAAGAAAAAACATCCAAGCCCGGCTAAATTCTGCAAAAACACATCTGAAGTCTCCCAAAAGTATGTGGGAAAATATGTTCTGGTCTGATGAAACCAAGGCTAAACTTTTTGGTCATAATTCCAAAAGATATGTTTGGCACAAAAACAACACTGCACATCACCAAAAGAACACCATACCCACAGTGAAGCGTGGTGGTGGCAGCATCATGCTTTGGGACTGTTTTTCTTTAGCTGGAAATGTGGCCTTAGTCAAGGTAGAGGGAATTATGAACAGTTCCAAATACCAGTCAACATTGGCACAAGGAAGTGGAACTTCATCTTTCATCATGACAACAACCCAAACCATACATCCAAATCAATAAAGGAATGGCTTCACCAGAAGAAGAGTAAAGTTTTGTAATGGCCCAGCCAGAGCCCAGACCTGAATCTGATCAAAAATCTGTGGGGTGATCTGAAGAGGGCTGTGCACAGGAGATGCCCTCACAATCTGACAGATTTTAAGTGTTTTTGCAAGGAAGAGTCGGCAAATATTGCCAAGTCAAGATGTGCCATGCTGATAGACTCATACCCAAAAAGACTGAGTGCTAGAATCAAATCAAAAGGTGCTTCAACAAAGTATTGGTTTAAGGGTGTGCACACTTATGCAACCATATTATATTAGTTTTTTATTTTTAGTTCCCTCCACCTAAAAGATCTCAGTTTGTTGTTCAACTGAGTTGTACAGTTTATAGGTTACATTAAAGGTGGAAAAAGTTCTGAAATCATTTTATCTTTGTCTCATTTTTTTTACATCACAGAAACCTGACATTTTAACAGGGGTGTGTAGACTTTTTATATCCACTGCAAGTGAATTTCCTAGCTCACATGTGAGACTGGACTTGATAAAGGAGTTACTTTCCACAAATGTTCTGCCTCCAGGAAGGAAATTCAGTCTGCAATATTAAATGTGGCCACTAGATGGATTCCAGAACATATTTACTGTTTTGCAGAAGCCAAAGATTGTTCAGCTTTAAAGTGTTACTAAGCCCACAACAGTAAAATTATTCTGTATATGCAGTAAAGCTTGCTTGTTATATTCACTGTGAACCCTAAGGGGTTAATCCACATTGTACAAAAAGGCTGCTTGATCCTGTCTTCTCTGATCCTACCCTTCTTTTACTGTCCTCAAGCCATCTGCTGATAGAACAGAGCTCTTGGAGTCACTATCCACATGCTCAGTTTAGTGTGTATGGCTAGAGAGTTTATTTTTCTTTTCGGAGGGTGCACGTGATCAACGCTGTCCAGACAGAGGGTCAGAGGTTACGCAGACAGGACAATCAAAGCAGAATGAAAACTCCTCCTATAAGTTTTAACTAGCACTCAGCCGGACACTGCTAGAAGTCACAAGACTCCTATATACTGCTGCTGAGAAAAGGTATTTAGCAGTTTATATTTACTAAAATAATTGCATTTCCATGTTGTATCTACTGAGGGAGACCAGATATAGTGAACGCTGGGTCCAGGGCTTAGTAACACTTTAACAAAAGCTTCCATCATCCTTCAGTCTAAGAAAAGGAAACGTGCATCCTGTGAGCTAAGACCCCATTTTAAGAATGGAGGGAGAGAGGAAACCAATTATATCTGCAGCATATGGTGGGGACTAAACTTACATTCCTTACAGGCAGCATTGCTGGTGAGCATGGATTCATTGCCATTTACAGCCTAACTATTCATCGTGTTCTCTGTATGCTTC